TTTAAAAGAATTTATATTTTGCCAGGCATGGTGGTACATGCCTTTAATCCCAGCACTTGAGAACAGAGGCAAGCAAATCTCTGCGAGATCAAGGTCAGCTTGGTCTATATAGTGAGTTTCAGGCCAGCTGTGGCTACAGGTAGACCCTGTCATACCTTAAAAAAAAATATTTAAGTGTATGTATGTGTGTGTGTGTGTGAGCACAGGTCCCTTTGGAGGCCAGAATAAGGCACTGGATCCTCAAGAGCTGCAGTTAAAGGTATGGGAACTGAACTTGGGTCCTCTGCAAGGGCAACGAAGTACTTAGTCACTGAACCATCTTTCCAGCTCCACCTTATTCTTATGAGACAGGGTCTTTCACTGAACCTGGAGCTCATCCATTAGGCCAGGCTCCTGGATTCTCTTGTCTCCATCTCCCCAGTGCTGGGATACAGACATGTACTACTACATTCAGCTTTTACATGGGTGCTGGGGATACACTTTACCAGCTAAACCCTCTCTCCAGCCCCCTCCCCCTACCTGTGCTTTCCAGTAAGGAATGACATTATTTCCCAGAGGCACTTTCCGTCTTTCTTGATTACTATACATATAGTGTCCTCTTTATTATAATTACAGTCCCATGCTGCATAATGAAATTTCAGTAAAGAAACTGAAAAATTCTTACCACCTAGGGAAGTTGTAGCCACCTTAATGACATAACACATCACACTGCACACGTCTGTGGTATAAAGTACCTACTGTGCTGTCAGCCATATAAAAGTGTAATGCATTCACTCATAAACAGCACATAATATATGTTACTGGTTTATGTATTTTCTATTTTTTTCTGGTTTTTGTTGGGTTTTTTGCGGGGAAGAAATTGATCCCAGAGCCACATGCATGTGTATTTTTTTTTTAATGAATGTATATCTTCTATACATATACCCTTGAGATAGGGTCTCCCTGTAGGTCCAGCTGGCCTATATAACTTGCTATATAGACCAGGCTGGCCTTGAACTCACACAGATCTGCCTGCCTCTGAGCCTCAAACTAAAGGTGTGCACCACCACACCTGGCTTATACTACACTTTTTAACTGTTCCCAAGTATATGCCTACTACTGTAAGTAGCCTGCCAGGTTGTACTGGCACCAGCCTCATTCACCTTGTGTTTACTGCAGCTTGTGATTACATCATTTTCTTCTGTGCTTGACCTAACCTCATGTTTCACTCATCGTGGCTCTAGGAGCAATACGTTTAAGTCATCTTTCCATAATGTTTGCATGACAATGAAATAGTCTAAGAACATTCCAGTAGCCCCTTCCCAGTCAAGCCTCTTCTAAATTCACATAGCTCCTGACTGAGGCTTTCCTGCTCTGACACCCATGGTCGCTTCCTCTTGGAAATAGGATTTCTTGTCCTGCCAAAGCCAGACAGCTATAATGTGCCTTATGTTCTTATTTCACTTTCTAGTTCTCAGCCCCTTCCTATCCTATATGCCATTCCATATTCTCTTTTCTGCTGATATTGCTATTTCCTGCTTTGGAATCACTGAGTTTACTTCCTGCCCTATACTTCATTTCCAGTTCTGTTTTATTTCCTATAAACGTATCCTATCTATTCCATAGTATCTGCAGCTCATTTCCTGTCTCCTATCACATGCCTTTGGAAATTTCATGCACACACGTACACACACACACCCCGTTTCATTTTGACGTTTCTGTAGCCTATTTCATATACCATGCTGCACTTCCAGCTCTCTAATACGCTTTTTTCCCCTCTTAAACCCTCTTCTGGCTGGGCATGGTGGTGCACGCCTTTAATCCCAGCACTCAGGAGGCAGAGGCAGATGGATCTCTGTGAGTTCAAGGCCAGCCTGGTCTATACAGTGAGTTCCAGGACAGCTGGGGCTACAGAGAGACCCTGTCTC